TGGTTGAGAAAATGATTTTTATTAAAAGTAAGAAGTTTTGAGGCTGGAGAGATGGCTCAGAGGTTAAGAGTACTGGCTGCTTTTGCAGAGGTCCAGAGTTCCGTTCCCAGCACCCACATGGCAACTAACAACATCTGTAACTCAGGTTCTGGGTGATCCAGTGCCCTCTTCTGGCCTCTGAGGGCAATGCACACATATGCTACACATAACATACATGCAAGGCTCTCACACATTAAAAATAATTTAAACAACATTTTTTTTTATCCTGTATGCATATGTGTGAGGGTGTGCACACTATAGTATGCATGTGGAGATCAAAAGAACAAAAGTACTTCTCTCCTTCCACATGTGGGTCCTGGGAATCAAATCCAGGTCATGAGGCTTAGCAGCAAGCACTTTTGTACACTGAGTGGTCTTACACACACACACACACACACACACACACACACACACCAGCTTATTCTTTAAAATCTTATTGTGATATTTTGAAACAGCGCTGTGTAGAGAACTGAGTCTAGCTTGGTTGTTTTATTTTTTAATTGACACATAATGTGCATATTTATGGGGTACAGCTAGTTTGTTTTATTTTTAATAGCTGTCATAACTGATTCAAAGAGGAGAAGTGTATCATGGGATGCATGTATTAAATCTACAGCCCTCAGTTCTCATCCCCATCTACCAATTAAAGGCTTTTTATTGAGCTGAGCGAGGAATCATGCCTCTTCCTTTGTGTCAACCAGTGGTTTTACGAGCTAATTGGAAAGCTTTACCTTTTGATATTCTTTTGAACAAGCAGGCTCAATATCCGCCTACATTATCGGGGCAAATTTCAAACAGGTTAGGAAAGAAAAAAAAAAAACGTTTCTGATATTTACAGGCATGTCCGCGTAAACACTTTTTATAGGTGATACCACCGTTTTAGCGACGGCAACAACAAAGGAAGGCCCTTCAGCACAGTCTCTCCAAAATACCGGCGACAATGGCAAAGCATTCCTGTCACAATGAGTCACCTACATTCTCTGGAGGAGCCAAATGAAGTTGCATTTCCCCTGCTGAGCAACAGCCGCGTATACCTTACAAATCGTATGAAATATTATTAGCAAAATAATGGGTGGAAAATGTCAACCGCCACTCGTCACCGTCACCGGAACAGGCCGGCAAGTGTGAAGCACTTGTTTGTGCAGGAAAAAAATGTGTAACTCATCTGCGGCTGTACGGCGGCTCCTTTGAGAGCGCTGTCTCAAGACGGCCCGCAAGCCTCCCTGTGGTTGGAAAGATGCCCAGTCTCTGATCACAGACCCTTGTACATGTGTTGCTATAAAACTCTAAAAAGTAAACCTAATCAAATCAATGAGTCCTGCTGCAATTTCTGAATGCCTGGACTTACTGTCCTGGTCACAGCACCCTGAAGAAAAATCTTCAGGGAAATTAGCATCAACTCACCTTCTCTTTTTTTTCCCCCCATCATAGACAAATTTTCCATCAGTGATTACACTCAATTTCACCCATAAGTAGTGGTGCAGTGTGTGTGTGTGTGTGTGTGTGTGTGTGTGTGTGTGTGTGGTGGGATATATGTGTGTACATGTTCTTGTGGGGTGGCAGGGGGTGGGTATATGCGTGTACATGTTTGTTTGGATGTGTGTGTATGGGGGGTGGGTATATGTGTGAACATGTGTGTGTGTGTGTTTGTGTGTGTATGTGTGTGT